AGGGTACTTTTTGATGTATTACAGTCATGCTACACAGTTACTTGCTGAGTGAGTGGTGGATATCTAATTTGTGATGATCTGACACTTATTAAGGGGTTTTGCACTTGGACTCCCTCTCTACCCACTCCCTGGAGTTGGTGTCACCTTTCTCCAGTTGGAAAGCCACAAGCTTATTCAGGCCAGTGGAGCCCAGGCTAGAGAGAAGGCTCAGGGAAGCGTCTGTCATGATATTTCAGCCCCACAGCCCTCTGTTCCTGACAACCTACGCCTTTTACAAATCAGTTCATTTTTCCTTCAGACACTTATCTTCTCACAGATCAACACACATCTTCTTCACTCCATCTCTTGTTTCAATTTTGTCAAGGTATCTCAGAAAAATCTTTTTTTCTGTATATTTTATGAGTCAGAAAATCATTCATAGCTGACAATAAATTACATGAGCAAAAAATATATATCGGAAAAAGAAAGAAAATGACAAATTTAAAATAAAAAGGAAAAGTACCTGCAAATTATACAGTGTTTGAAAGTGCCTATAATCTATGCAAAATTCACCATCTAATTTCCTAAACTCTTCAAATTAAGCTTGGTTTTCTTTAAGCATTACTGTTGAAGAAACAAGTTTTAAAATATGAAAACTAAAGAATTAAAAAATTTCTGAAAAAATTCTAAAGAATTCTAAATTCTATATTTTGGAATTTTAAATTCTAGAGACTTAAAAATTATATTTAAAGCATATATAAAATTTTGTATATATTAAACTTCAGAAATTTTTAGTTATTTTACTTAATCAGTTATGTTACACCAATGCTGTGCCTTCTCATTATTTCAATCATTTATTGGTTAAGAATGTCTTCATGAGTTAGCTTGGGAGAAGTTTCCCGTCATCTGCATTATTATTTCTGTGGAAAATATCTCTTGTTTCCAAAAAGATTAAATTAGAAGTGAAGCTTTGATTTTTAAAAAATTATGTTAAGTTGAAGATGTCCCAAATATGCTATTATTTTCATGAAAAAAAGACTAATGTTGCTAATCAATATGCTCTCTGAGTCAGAAAAAAGGAAAACAGATCATGAGGGAAGAAGTTCATTATTTTAATATATTTTTTCTAATTATAAAAAAACTGCAGTAGGAGCAAGAAGATAAATGAGGACACATTTCTTCGTTCGTTTAGCTCACTTGATATGTGCTCTGCAGTAACACCAGCTAGGATGAGGTAATTCACTGTAATTTGAGCTGCCAGTGGCAGATGGGCGATTCAGAGAGAGGCATTTGTCAACAGATTCTACTTTAGACAGTGAGCAAGAGAAAATGTGGAGTCTCACTGCAGTGGTAGCTTGCCTTCCTCCAAAGGAAGTAGGCAAATTTGTCTTCATCCTCTTATTACACCACTGGGAGCCATTTTCCATGCTTTGGCCTTAGAACCTTCTGCCTCCTAGTTGCCCTGGAATGTTCTTTGTGGCCTCACATCTCCTCCTGCCTTTCCCAGCAAAGCCCCAGTCTTTTGAGTCTCTCTTCAAATAGAAGACAATATAGACCTCTTCTCCAGACTGTAAATTCCATGAGTGAGAACCAAATCTGTCTCTTTTCTCTCTTGTCCACAGTGCCTAGCACGGAGCCTTTCATTTAGCCCACAGGTATTAACTGAGTGAATGCATGAATGAGTGAGTGGGTGAATGAGTGAATGTAACCTTATTTATCTCCATTTGCAGGGAGTAGTTCTCACCCTGATCTGTTTCACATTAAGATTTTACTTATTGACAAGAAAAAAAATGTTTTACATCTTTCATAAGTATTTACAACTAAATGGAAACAATCTCTTAATAATCCAAAAGGGGAAAAATAACCTTTTAACCATGTAATTTGAGCTATTAGAGACAAGCAGAGGGGGAGAGAGACATCTGATTTACTGAGCCTCTTAAATTGTGCTATATTATCTGCCACTTCACCTGTTTAGAAAAGTTGACCTACCTAGATTCTAAACAGTCCTACTGACAACCTCCCATTAAAAGTATAGGAAAGAGAAGTTCATGTAATACTTACTGCTGTCTTTGGTGGAAGAAAAAACCTGTTTCTATTAAGGAAAACTTGGTAAACATTATTTACACACGAGACTCCCAGGTCCTAGGAGTGATAAAATGATATTAATAATAATTATTATTTACTAAGCTCCTATTATATACTGGGTACTATATTAAGCATTTTAAATACATTATTTAATTTGTACAACCCAGCAGTAGATGTTATTTCCATTTTGTTAATGAAGAAAGGAAAGTTTAGAAAGACTAAACATGGCATCCTTTTCTAGTGATGCCCTCTTTCCCATGAAACTCTTACCCTTCCTCCAGATGTTAAAGAAAAAAATAGTATTATCTTGCACACGTTATACTCCACAAATAGAAATTTGGCTATGAGAAACAGAAGGTATTAGAGAAATACAATATTCTCTTGTAGAAGAAAAGATTATAACTAATAAATATTTTAATATTAAATTTGGTTATTAGTTTAACATCTACTAATGTATTTGCGTTAATATACTTACTGTCGGCTGTTCTTTTTTAAAATAATTTTTAAGCCGTAAAAAAGGGTTCCTATGACATGGTATCTACTCTGATTAAACACAACCCCAGCCTGGACCAGCCCTGTGTCAAGCGATGGTCAGCAATGCACGAAGCAGCCAAGCAAGGCCGAAAAGATATCATAGCTCTGCTACTAAAACACGGAGGCAATGTCCACCTGAGAGATGGATTTGGAGTCACACCGTTGGGTGTGGCTGCCGAGTACGGTCACTGTGATGTGTTGGAACATCTAATCCACAAAGGTATGTGAAAAGGAATTACACTTTCCTGACTTTTGTCCTGCCTCTTGGACACTCCTTTTCTCCTTTCCTCACTGTGTCCTCTTCCTCCCCTGAATGTAACTGGGCATCAGGCTTTCATACTCAGCCCCCTCAATAAACCCCTATGCCACAACTCAGTTAAGCCCTATATATTGTGGCCTACTGCTTTCTGTAGAAGCAGCCCAGTTTTCACATAGGTGACTCACTAAGGCTTCTCCTAAACTGAATTTCTCCTCATTTTCTACTTACTGATATAATAATTTCTCTCAACCAGGACTGAAAGGTTGGATTTACCTCCAATTTCTCCATCCCCTTCTTTCCTAAACCCCATCAGTTGCAAAATCCTATAGCATCTCTCGTCCTCATTTTTGCAATCCATCTGCCATCGTGGTCAGGTCCCTCACATCTTCCCTGGACCAGTGCAAATATTTTCTAACCATTCTCTGGGTTTCCAGTCTCCCCATCAGAGAATCCATGCTACACACTGCAACTTGTTTCCTCTCCCTAAAGGACAGCTACAATAGTGTGAACTGTTCAAAAAATCCCTATGGCATCATCCTGCTTTGCCCCTCTTGTATCCTACACTCCAGCCAAAATAGACTAGCAGTATTCCCAAACAAATCTGACATTCCCTCTGTCTGGGTTTGGTTCAGGTCTTTGCCCTCATCTCTCCAGCACAATTCAAAGTCAATTTCTTGAGACATCTCCTCCCCTATTCCTTTCCTAATTCTCCCCAACAGATTGTGACATTGCCCTCCTCTATATCCTCCAAGGATATAATTATACAACTACAGAACCAGCAGTTAAGAGACCTAATTCCTAAACTGGTTTGGGCCACCTACTCATTGTGAGACCCTAGCCTGGTTAGGTCAACTTCTGGTCCTCAGTTATCTCATCTGCAAATAAAGGCTAGGACCATATGGTCCCCAAAGGATCCTCTATGGGGAAAAGATGAATATTTTTGAGCAAACTTTATTTAATTTTCAAATAAGCCCTGTGAAATAAGCTGTATTATTCCAGTTTAGAGATGTGATGATAGAGGGGCATAGAAGTAAATGGCTTGCCCCCAATTCTCACGGTAAGCAGCAGAGCCATAATTCAAACACAGACCTCTGTCTCCTGCATCATGCCTCCTAGTCTTGATGTCATTTGAATGCCATACGGTTTGTTCTCTGATGACATTTTGTTTCATTTCCCCTCTAAGCTCCTTAAGGTAGTCAAACTTATTCATCTTATGGTCACACACAGTGTTTGTGTATAGAGGGTAGTCGATAAATATTTGTTGAATTGAAAGAGTGTTCATTATTGTCTTTAAGTAAAAAAGTCTAATGATCCCTTTTTCTGAAAGCATTTGCCGGTCATGAAAATTGACTTGTTAGTTTCTCTCATGTTTTTGTGACCAATGGATTTTCTAATAAAGTGAAGCATGCTGCATAACTGTCTGTTGAAAACATTGAGAACATAGATGCTCTTGATTCTACACTTTTAAGTCCTAAGTAGAAAGTAAAACAACAGGTTGTTTTTAAGGGGGCTATTTTAGCAAGGCCAGTTATCATCATGTCACGTGTTTTATACTGCCAGGTGGTGATGTATTTGTTTTGGCGGATGATGGGGCATCAGTGCTGTTTGAGGCAGCAGGAGGTGGCAATCCTGATTGCATTTCCCTGCTGCTGGAATATGGAGGAAGTGGAAATGTACCTAACAGAGCAGGGCATCTTCCTATACACCGAGCTGCCTACGAGGGACATTATCTGTGAGTGATAAATTACAGGATAATCGTTTTAAGTTAAAAATGCAAATTTATATATACAGTATAATCACAAGTCTCTCTCTATATAATACCGTCCAAAAATCCAAAGGGAAATAGTCAAAATGTTCACAAGTTCTGTATTTAGATGCTTGGAACTTGTTTGATTTTCCTCCTTTTCATATTCTTATAAGTCCAAAAAATGAATTTATAATAATTTTACGAAGAAAAGAAATTCTCTTTTAAAAGGAATTAAGTTATGTGAGAATTCTGCACAAGCCAACCAAGAGTGCTTTTCTGTTAAAAAAAAAAAATTGTGTTCAGCAAAATATTACAGAATTTCTAAAAATTTTGCTCTTGGTAAAGGATTAAAATTTGTAACAATACTATCATTGTTACTACAATTATTTCTTAACATCTCCAGGATTTTATAATATAATGTCAAACATATCATGTCAAATATATTCTTCAATAGAAAAGTTTCATTATGAGTTTAGATTTCTTTACTCCACAGAAATAGTTGGATAGATTTTTAAAGCACAAAATGTGCCATGATGAATACATCGATAGATGTCTAGAATCACTATATTAAACTACCCACCATGATAAGATGGTTGCAATCAATTCAATACATTTTATAAGTTGAAAAACTTTGAAGTAGTTAGGATATGTAGTTTTCAGTGGCCACATTGGCTAAGTGGCCAATGACATATAATTGATGCTAAGTGACATGTTGTTAAAGTTTATCTGGATTTACTCCCAGTGTTCATAAATTCACACATGGTAGCTCTGAATTAGGCACAAGAGATCAAGTTATCCTTGCCTGTGGCTCTCATACATGTCTATTTGGTTAGTCAAGTGTGAAATTTACAATGATTTATCACATGTACTTAGAAACATAAGCTGTTATCTCAGGTGGACAGATATAAGGTTGATGAATAATAAAGACTCTTCTTTTGGCTAATAATTCAATTGCAAGTTGTATGAAAGCAGACAGGATGTACATGGTCAACATTAAAAAAAATAGATTGCCTGGTAATCAGTGAAAGAGGAATAATTAATGAGAAACCAAAGAGGCCTAAATTCTAGACCACCTCCACATCTAACCCGTGTGACCTTGGACAAGTCATTTTACCTCTCCAGACTTCATATTAACTTCTTCAGTTAAATGAAGTAGTTGGACTAAATTATATCTAAGCTCACTTCCACCTCTCACTTTCTATGATTCCATGATTCAAATGGTCAAGATTATGAAACATTCTTCTATGGCATCAGAAAGGCTTACTTTTATATTTTTTTATTAAATAGCATTGGTTGCTTATAAAAATTGTATTGCTCAGAGAAGAATTGGAAAGTGGGCAGGGTTCCTGAGGAACCAAAGTTCTAGGACCATTCCTGTAAGATTCAGCATGTTTCCCAGGAATATTCAGAATAGGAAGATAAATCTAAATTGAACTAAATCATACTGAACTAAATGTTAATAATATCTTGATGGACAAAGATTAAGTGTTTCAGTATAAGGTTATCTGGAGAAATTAAGGGAAACTAAACTAAACAAATTGCCTTCACTTATTTAGTGAGGAAGCTGATTTTTTCAATTTCTTGGTTTTCTTTATGCCATGTGGATATTTCACTTTTTTTTTTTTTTAGTGCACTGAAATATCTTATCCCAGTAACATCCAAACATGCAATTCAGAAAAGTGGGCTAACACCAATTCACTCAGCAGCAGATGGACAAAATGCACAGTGCCTAGAACTGCTCATTGAAAATGGTTTTGACGTCAATACCCTCCTTGCTGACCACATTTCCCAGAACTACGATGATGAGAGAAAGACTGCGCTATATTTTGCCGTTTCCAATAATGATATCCGTTGCACGGAAGTCCTTCTGGCAGCAGGTGCAGATCCAAACCTAGATCCCCTCAACTGCCTACTTGTGGCAGTGAGGGCCAATAATCATGAAATTGTCCGACTGCTTCTCTCCCATGGAGCTAATGTCAACTGTTACTTTATGCATGTCAATGACACTCGTTTCCCCAGTGTCATTCAGTATGCCCTAAATGACGAGGTAATGCTGAGGCTATTGCTGAATAATGGCTACCAAGTAGAGATGTGCTTTGAATGCATGCATGGGGACATCTTTGGAAATTCCTTTGTGTGGTCAGAAATAGAAGAAGAGGTACTGCCAGGATGGACATCTTGTGTAATAAGAGATAACCCGGTGAGTTACATGCTTTTCTGTTTCATATTGGGTCATCATCCTAACTCTTATAAGCTTTCACTCATTTGGGGATGTTATAAGAAAGGAAAAATCAACTGTAATTTTTAAATTGTTCTTATTCTTGAATTTTTGTTTACAGTGATATGGGGATATAAGCATAAAGCTAGCCAAAAAGAAAAATATGTTGTTTATTCTTCTTGAATTGGAAACTGAATGTAGAAGAACTTGAAAACTTATGAGATTAATCACTATTGCTTATTTGGTGGAATATCAGGGCTAGGTGGAAAGAAGCATGATTCTTCTATGTTATGCTGACTATAATAATATCAGAGCCAGGCATATGTCTTCAGGGCTGATAGTTTCACAGAAACAAGCAAGCAATTTATTTTTCATTCTTGTTCATGATAAGGAGGGATCTTTTATTTTCTGTAAAAGATAAAGAGTAATTTTTATAACAAAATTGAGTGTTTATGTATATGGTATATTAAAGTACTACTAAGTTAAATTTTATCAATTCTCTCAGTTTTGTGAGTTTATTACAGTTCCTTGGATGAAGCACCTGGTAGGCAGTGTTATTCGTATATTAATAGATTACATGGATTATGTCCCTCTGTGTGCTAAACTGAAGTCTGCACTAGAAGTACAGAGAGAATGGCCAGAAATCCGCCAAATACTAGGTAAAAAACAAAAGTTTTGCCTACAATTTTTTTTATTAAAAATGTATGTGGGAGAAGTTTCTTAAGGTCTTCTTTAATACTTTTTCAGTGCTGCTTTATTTTCAGAATTATCTGGGGTTGTTAAATCATCCTTAACACTTTCTTTGCTGTAAGATTTTTTGTTGTTGTTTTTCTTGGTATTTTCCAACTCTTCAGTTGTATAATGAGTAATACTATATCTATATTAACATTCTTACTAGAATTCATTTTTTGAAAATTAACTTCTATAATATCATGCAATATGTAGTCTGCATTCTCCACGTGGGCAGGGATCTGTTTTGTTTCTTTTTATAATATATTCTCAAGGTTTAGCATAGTGGCTAGTAAGCAGTAAATACTCAATCAATACTTATGGAGTAAATGAATAAATGGAAGGGATTAGAATTATCCTTTTTGACTTGCTTTCTCTCAGGTCTTTATTGATATAATCTTAACATCAAAGATTTGTGTTTATAGACAGGCCGTTGTGTATTCTCTAGATGAAAGTTTAGTTATTATGAAAACGAATCATATTATAAAGGCTGGGCGCAGTGGCTCATGCCTATAATCCTAGCACTTTTGAAGGCCGAAGCAGGAGGATCACTTGAAGCCAGGAGTTCAAGACCAGCCTGGGCAATAGTGAGACCTCATCTATACATATTACAAAAGTTTCAATAAAAGTACATTTTAAATGACTCAAAACAAAAATAGAAACTAGAAAAAATTCATAGATTGGAGAGATTTTCTCTTTCAAGATATGAGTTTGGAAAAATAAACTTTCAAAACCTACTTGGAAATCAATGTCATGGAGCCTAAAGAAACATCATAGAACTTAATATATATACTTAAATCTGTCTTCCCCTGGAAGGAGTTCTATAATAGAAGAGATTTTGTGGCAACTAAAGCAGAAATCTTAGAGAATCTGATAGATAATTTAGTATTGTGACCCTAGAAATTGAGTTCTGTGGTCAGATAGACCCAGGGTAGGGTATAATTCTGGCCATGCCTAGGAATAGGATTTCTGGGTTATGTGATGTAAATATAATTCAGGGCTATTTTCATTGAAACAAGCAACAATTTATTGTTATCATTTTTGCTTCTCTAAGAGGAGGAAGACTTTTTATTTCCCGTAAAAAGACCAAGATAGTCATACAAGCTGTGTGACTTTGAGCAAGTTACTTATTCTTTTTATACCTAAGTTTTCTCACTGCAAAATGGGGCTAGGATAGTATTTACCTCACAAGGATGTTGTGGGGATTTCAAGAGATAATGCATGTAAGATGCTTAGCATAGTGTCTAGTACATTAAAAATACTTAATAAATTTAGCGAGTTTCAAAACTAAATTATTAGTATTTTTATTACATGGTAAATTTATGTAAGGTTTCTAAAATGTACATGTGAAGTGTGTCATGAAATATTGTAAAGTATTATTGTGCTTATTTTTACATATAAAAAGCTAAGTCTAAGGGGAATTGTAAAACAGTAATTCTTGAAACTGACCTCTCAGAGTTCCCTTTCTGGACTGAAGCTCACATTGGGTGTAAAATAAAAATCAAGCAAGACCGGGATAAGAGAAGGTCCACATAAAAAGTGGGAGTGGCAAACAGAACCAAGAAACCTCAAGGAGCAAGCCACTATACTTTGGATCATTGCAAGAAAATAATAGAGTGGGAAGTTCTGTAGAGTTAGAAGAACTCTTGAATCAACCATCCTAAAAATTCAAGAAAACTACATTCACATAAAAATGAGCAATAGAAAAGTACCACAGTCAAATCCTATATAGTTATTATAAGAAAAAATAGAAAGAGGTACAGAATAATATCCCCACAATGAAAATACCAGAAAATCGCACTCTCAGAACAGATCAAAATTGAAACCTTCTATTTCAAAAAGAGCTAAAAGGTATGAGAAAAATGATATATGACATGAAAGAACAATATGAGTCAAAATTAGAAAAATTCAGAAATAAGGTAACAGAACTGAGGAAAGAACTAGAAATAAAAAGCAAAAATTAATTTCAAATATGAAGAGTGAACTAGGATGAAAACAAGAACTAATAACACAGTAGATAATATCATGATAGAAATGGAAGAGAAAATGGAAGAAAGTTTTTAAAATCAAAAGAAGTGAAGGAATAGATAAAAGGAATTGAAAGTGACAAATGTTAAAGATAAACAATGAAGAGTCAATATATGAAAAATAGGATTCCTTAAAAAGGAAAACCAAATCAAGGGAACAAAAAAAATACAAATAAAAATACCTAAATTTCAAGAACATTTTCTGTAATAAAAAAGAAAAGTTTGAAACTACAAGTTACAAATTACTATATCGTTTGGGCATATAGGCAAAAAGAACAAATGATTTGTGGGGGAAAAATGATTATTATTAAAACTTTTATCAACAACACTTTATGCCAAAAGAAAATGGAGTAACATATTTAAGACGACCCATGGAAGGAAGAGGTAGAGCAAAACTGACTTTTAGTTATCGACGCAGGCAAATTGCTGTTAGCGTGAGAGAACTCGGGAAATCTAATTTCTCTAATCGAAGGATCCACTAAGAAGTGACCTTTAGACAACTCAAAATGATTAGAGAGATAGCAACATAAGGACTAATATCAAACAGGATGAGCATTAAACAGAATACCAAGATTAAGTGAGACTTAAGAAGGATAAGATATAATATGTAATGATTATATGTTCTGATAAAGTAGATATGCACAACTATTTATTTTTAAATATTGGTAAATAACATAAATAATATTTAATAATAAAGTACATATTTATTTTAAAATATTGATGGTGTCATAATATTAATATTGTTATGCTGAGACTGACACATATTCAGTAAATGAACAATTAAGGAATATTCTAATACCATTATTCTTTGTATCCTGGAGACCCAGGATTGTCAGTGTGGAAGAAAGGAAATATAGATGTAATACAGAAGAGGTTAAAGAAATATCCTGTAGTCTTGAATTAGAACTAGTATCAATATGAATTCACAAGCTATTTTACCTTGAAAGTGTGTGTACATATGCACTGTGTGTGTGTGCCTATCTGTTTCTCTCCAGGAAGGGCTTAGACATAATGATGAATCCAGTAGCAATGAGCATCCCTAGGAATCAGATTTTGGCCTAGAAATGGCATTTTCTACAAAAAGAAACAAAGGCTTTTTAGAGAAATAGATTACTTCATATCTAGGGAAGGAAATGTACAAGATGAACCTGGAACATCTGGATACCAGATAGCAAAGAAACTCTTAAATACTTCAAGAATCATGTCAAAAGAAGTCAGGAACCAACATGAAGAGAGTCCCACTGGCCAAAGATAGGACAACTTAAGTTTCAAAAAGCATAATTATTTCAATGAGTTGAAACCTATCCAATATGTTTAAATATATGATATTTTAAAAACTGGTCAGCTCCAGAGAACAGTAGAAGATCAACTTATTACCTTGAAAATTGGGATAAAAAGAAAGATTTAACTGTTCATTCTGCCTTACCTATATGATTCGTGCCATTAGTAACCAAAGAGTAAATGAGCAAAAACATCCCTTAATAAAAATACTCCAAATAACAAATGAAAAAGAAATTATATAATTAGATTCACCATTTTGTTGCTCCCACTTTGATATAATTATATCAAATTATATTATTTGGTATAATTAGATATCACCGTTTTGCAGTTTATCCCCAGTAAACTAAAGGATATAATTATTGAGCATCGACTGCTGCTAGTATCACATTATGCAGCCCCCAGTGAAAGGACGCAGCACCAGCTACAGTTTGTCAGAGAAATCAAACCTGAGTCTGATCAAGTCTCTGGATCCAGCTATCAATTTGCAAAAAATAGAGAAGACAATGGAACTGCACCGTGAAAATGTAATCAGTAAAATTCAGGTTGTCAGAAACTACAAGGCATTTGGGTTCTTCCAAAATTAATTGAAAGGACAAGAAGAGGGTGCAGAGAAGAACCTGCAGATTAAAAAATATTTAAAGGACATATCAAAATTTTAAAAGAAATATTGTCAATACTATATACTGCAGGGATAGTGCACTTAGATAATGAGACTTTGACGGAACTGATTACTTAACAAGTCAGAAGGTTACTTATGGGGGAAGGAAGGGGTGAAGATTGAATGGATTGTGGAGGAAATTCTAGGGTGTCTAGCAAAGTTCTATGTCATGACCTTGGTTGGACTTTGGAGGTAACTAAAGATGTTCACCTAATCACTTACAATAACTTAGAAAACTATGTATGTGTGTAGTTTCTCTATCTGTATTTTATTTTGCAATAAAAATATTAAAACAGTTTAGAGATTGTAACTAGGAAAAAACTTGAAGGCTTAGATAAATTAATTTTCCAAAGTTATAAACAGAAAAAGCAAGGATTTGAACCCTCACATGTCTTACTTTGAAATACAGGCTCTTTCTATAATACCACAGTACTCCTGTCATAGAAAGAATAGATTTTGCTTCTAAATGGGAATAATTGTCCACATGTTTTTATTGCAAAAGAATCACCAATTCTAATGACTTTGGAAAGGCAATCCAAGTAAGAATAAAACCAGGGAGTTTTTTGTTCTTTC